GCGCTTCACAATGATGAACCGAAACTCAGCAAATACTTGCCTCACAGACTTGCTAAATATATCTATAGAACATTTTAAATTACTACCTTAAAACTAAATAATTCAAAACAAAAACTATTTTTACGGATTTTATAAAATTTTATAAAAAGTAAAACTAACGGTGACAGTGCTTGCATGTTTTTTCCCCCCCACAAGAATACCAGCATGTTCACCTTCTCTGGTTTAAGAAGCGGTCTTTTACTTGACTTTCGTTTGAAAACCTTCAATCGTTTCTCAATTATGTGCGTCAAGAAGGTGTACCGTCGATAAATATCGATACCGTTTTATCGCCCAGGCCTAGTCTCAACCATGGTAAATAGTATAATGAGTACAAGTGGCAGCTGTTTGCAACTTTAACTAGGAAACGACTTGACAAAAAGATGCCGGCTTCACTGTTTTATTCGTAAGAAATTACTGTTACACTACTGTTCAAAAGTTTGAGGTTGGTAAGATTTTTTTTTATTTTTTAAAGACTCCTACGCTTACCAAGACTGCATTTATCTGATTAATAATACAGTGAAAACAGTAATGTTGAGAAATTATTACAATTTAAAATAATCATTTCCTATTTTAATATATTTTAAACTAATTTATTCATTTGATGGCAAAGCTGAATTATTAGCAGTCATTAATCCAGTTTTCAGTGTCTCATGATTATTCAGAAATCATTCTGATATGTTTATTTGCTGCTCACGAAACATTTCTTATTATTATCAATGTTGAAAAAAAGTTGTTGCATAATATTTTTTGTTGAAACTGTGGTACATTCTTTTTGAGTGTTCTTTGATTAATAGAAGGTTTAAAAAACAGCATTTACATGAATTAGAAATCTTTTGTAACATTATAAATATTCTTATTGTTATTTTGATCAAATTAATGCATCTTTACTGGACATACAGTGTACTAGAATTCACATTTACCTCGGACTACCTCTTCAAGCAAACTCAGTGTGGTTAACTGGTGTGCACCAAAGTTCAGAAAACCACTTTCACACCAACCAAACTCTGACGTCAAACAGACCCTGGCCTGCCCCAAAAGCTGCAGTATGAAAGCAGTTAAAACGAACCCCCTTCCATTTCAACCGCTGTTCTTAAACCACAATCCTCCAAAGGAACTTTCCATTTGCTAAGCTAATAAAGAGCAAGAAAAGTCAGACTGGGAGCAAAAGGAGCGCGTTTTAAATGGTGGAGCGTGCTGAGGGTTTCTTTTTTTTCCACAAGCTTGTGTGTTCACATTGGGGGGGCTCTGGGTCACGGCTTTGCACCCTTGAGGCTCCTTACTGTCTACAGTAACCGGGCCAAAGCAGTGCTTTGGCAGCAGCACTTTCAGTACTCGCTCTGTATCGAGCGCATTGGTCTGCCATTGCTCCCACCACTTCCGAGCTCGACTCGGCTTGCATTGTTTGTCGATTCCCACTGGTATGCATGAATTTATCCCTGTGAAAGAACTGCTTCCAATTCTCGGGGAGCCGCTTTGATGCGAACGCATATACGTGTTGCAGATGTTTGTGGTGTCGACATAAACAAGCACAAGGCATGTGCCATCAGAGCATAGCGAGGCATATCTTCTTTTTTTCCTCCCCTACTCTGCCTCTTCATTCTTTCCATCTGCTGGGAAAGAAGATAAAGAATAATGCCACTGTTCTTTGGAGTAACCGAAGACAGGGTAATAATAATGACGAGCTTAGCTGCAGGGAGAGAAGTCGGCTGGGCTGAGGTTGCACGGCTGATGACAAAACAAGAGCACTCTGGGATTCCTTTACAGGCCTAGCGGCCCAGTGCCTGCTGAGACCATTAAGGATTATGCAATGTGGAACAGTTAGAGTCAATCAAAAAAAGCCCTCCAGGGAAGAGAGGTGGGATGTAAGATTTTCTCCCGTGTGTCCACTTTAAATGCACGCCAGAGAAGAAAAAAATGCTTCAATTACATTACTGCTCAAAAATGTTGAGGGCATTTTTACGTTTATGCCCGCCAAGGCTGCATTCATTTGATAAAAAATACAGTAAACACAGTAATATTGTGAAATTTTCTATTTTAAAATATAATTTATTCCCATGATGGAACATTGAATCTTTTCCAATTATGAGATTCCAACTTTATTCATTCAGCAAGGTGTTAAAAAGCCATCTAGAAATCTCATTTCCTCACTGCTAAAAGGTGCTGACAACCTCGTCGCTGATTTGTGGACGTGTTTTCATTAACACAAAGTCATCACTGGCCATCAAAACCTGAAATTTCAGCATGCATCTGCTAAATGCTGTAGCATTTTACACTATTATTATTTCATAAGCCAATATTCCACCCTAAACCATTAATATTAACAAGACAACGTAAATGGGGAGCACTTCTGAGCCCTTATCTCGCAGACTCAATACATTTTTTAGTACGCAGGATTATTGCGGATGTGTGGCCATCCGCCTTGCTAATCAGGAATAGAAAAACAGCCTCAGGTGAGAGACTGGCAGAAGCGAAGGGTGAAAATGAGGTCAGCATGCTACTATCTCTCGCTCTTGGTCGCTCTGCACATTCATTTAATCATCCGGAAGCATCCGGACAGAGCGTTAAAAATACATTCTTTTAAAAATAAAGGTTCCTTATTGACATCTATGGTCCATGAAGAGCCTTTAAAATCCATGGAACTTTACTAATCCATTTTCATTATGTTGGAAAAAGTTTCTTTAGATTTTTTAAATGATTCTTTTAGGAACTGTTCACTGAAAGTTTTTTTGGGGAACCAAAAATAGTTCTTCTATGCCATCTCTTGCACCTTTTGGCAGCTTTATTTTTAAGAATGTAGTGACAAAAACTATAAAAGAGGTTAAAAATAGCGCTGGCAAACATTTAGCTAGTTACCAAATGTAGATTTAAAAAAGCATATATTCACATATCTGGCAAAAAGACAGTGAAGTTTATGTAAAGTGCTTTGAAAAACTAACCTAATTAAGGACAATTTTAATTAAAAATACTGTATGTGGCTTATGCGTCATTTTATTTCTGACGCTAATTTCTTTCTAAACACTAAAAAAACTTGGTTGGGTGAAAACTATTTCCTTGAGATCTGTCACAGGCAACAAAAGTGCAGTGACCCTGCAAAACATCTCCATTTCGAAGGCAATGTTCACACTTCCCACCAAAACATCATGCAAATTACATGGTCAAACATCTGGCCGCAGACAACACACCAAACTGTTACAGGTTCGTAACATACAATTTCAGAGAAAGCACAAAAACAGACTAAATAACATTCTCAGGTCACATTCGCAGACAAACCATTTCTTTTTGTTTATAGGAGAAGGGAACGGTTGCTCTGACTGGCAAACACATGGATCATCCTGGAGGTTTCAAGCCAGATAACTTTAATTGCTCTGTGTACATGATGCCGGTATAGAAAATCTATACGCTATGCTGGGTCTCATTGAGACTGATGCTGCCTTCACACCTCTAGACCAAAGTGAGTGAGTGAGGTCCTAATCAATGGGAGGAGACAGTACAAACCAGCATGCCAGTCAACCATGGAATTACAAAGCACGGGTGCCAATCCCTTGGCATTTCGTCAAAAAATTACTAGCAACTGGCTTATTCAGGATCCACGTTCATCAAATGCATTGCCAATTAACTGTATAATAAGGCAGGCAGGCAGAAATGCAAAGAAGTCCCTGTGTAAGGTTAATGAATGCTCCAGAACATACATTTTCCATCTCGGTCTAGGATTATAAAGAGTAACGGTGGCTTTTAAGAGAAAGCCTATGCAAAACAATCAATGATCGCATGTGTTCACATTCCAGCAAACCGAGCCAAGTGTGACCAAGAAAGAGTTAGTGTCTTACAGCTTCTGCATGTTAAGCTGCTCTAAGAAGCTCCTGGTCACTTTAAGCAGGGGGTTTATGGAGAAGTCGGATGCGTTTTGACTTTAAACAGAAGTGTTACAGACAAAATGGGTGCTATTGGTCTGAAAACATAGGTTTGTGGTCCAATCTTAAAGTTCAGCTCGCCAACAGTTGTCGAGAAGACAATGCACATTTACAAATACTGCTGATAGCTCCCACTGCAGTCACTTACATTTTGAACAAAAAAAGGTTAACCAAACCAACTTATTTCTGCATTCCTCACTTCATGTGTACCTGTCCAGAAATGTCACCCACAACCAAGTTAGTGGTTTTTATGGCTAAATTTATAGTAGCTTTATAAGTCTGTCACTCTGACAGACACCATCTTTCTCTGCCATAAATTTCACAATACAAGAGTGAAATAACGATCAAGCTTCATTCTTCATTTTCCAAAAATGTCACAAACACATCAAACGCGAACATTTCAGTCATTCATCTGCTTTGCACAATACATCTTAGCTGAAAACCCTAGACAACACCATGTGTGTGTATTTGTACAGTATTCCTAACGTTCATTAATACCTAGCTTAATGTTTTCTTCACTAGATTCTAGTTATTACGATTTAAAAAATAAACCCACACAACATTTGGTGTGTATAAATACTTATAGTGTAGGTAAAACAACAATGCCAAGCTGAATTGAAAAACACTGCCGTGACTAAAGAAACTGATACGTGATACATTACAACTGACGCGATACATATCTAAAACATTAATTATCATTGACACATGACAAAGTATGAATCAGTCCAGTGAAACAGTGTTTGACTGGTTACTTCATAACGTGGCCGGGTGGCTGCTTGAGTTTACGCTCAACTACCCCCCAGCAAAACGCTTATTGTTCTCGGTTGAAACTCACCTTTTCCCCGTAAAGAAAGGCTGTCAAGCCGAGGGTTAATATCATCCAAACGTTCCTCATAATTCCTTAGTCTTCGCTTGTGAAAAAGGAAAATATCGTCCCCGTGTCTGTTTCCACTTTTGAAGAAACTCTTCCCTCTCTCGCTCGCTCGCGCTCCAATCTCGCTCTCTCACAGGACTCAAATCCCACCGGATACGTGTTGCTTTTTTGTCTGCTTATTCATCCGCGCACTTTTGTATAGTAAAATAGGTCGTTTTCGATATGTTTCGCGAAGTCTTACGCATTGAGTCTACGGCCGCATGCGGTTAAAGCTGCACTCGTCTCGCAAAGGTGAATTTAACGTGAGGTCTCTCGGCCATATGTCTGAAGTGGAGCTCTGCTGTCGAGCCACCCGCAGGACTGAGAGGAAAATACGGGTCAAACAGAGGGAGCGCTTGAGCAATGATTGACAGAGAGCGCGACCATATGAAAAAACGACAACTTCAATTCTGGTTTTCAAATTTTTATGTTTTAAGACATGTCAGATTTAAGTACTAAACCATAATGCTTTTATGACACTGTTATTTTAATAAGCTATTTATTTGTAAATTTCCAGTTACTTAAATACATTTAATTATGTAAAGCATTTTGAGCTGCCGTTGAGTATGAAATGTACTATATGAATATTTAGATATATTTGATTTGGAATGAGTCGGATTTTTTCAGTGAACAGGTATAATGGATGCATTGTCTTTTAAAGTGACCGCGCCTAATTTAGCTACTAGCTGCTGTCGGTGTCCTTAATGTTAATCCAAGAAAATGAAAGAAAGAAAATCCCTCACTGCTCTTGACTGAATTACTTTGTAGTTTTAACAAAAATTTATCCACAGTCAACCCAAAAATTATTCAGACACCAGATATAATTTTTTATATTTTTTTACTAGTGGGTGCAGGACACTATAGTTCATTTATGTAAGTGAGTATAGCAAAATAAAGTAAACTGTGACATATTATACCCAAATATTCTTCATACAGTGGACTACCAGTAAAATTGATAAAACATTTGGGACAAAAAAATATTCAGACACTTTGACCTGACCTTGTTTTGCTTAAGTGTTTTTTTTTTCTTCTTTAATTGCTAATGCGAACTTTTTACACCACAGACTGAACAAAATTAAGCATTGCTTGGTAATTGGTTGACCTAAATTGGTTACATATTTTATTACCATTTTCTAAACTATAGCAAATAAACTGTGATAATGTGAGAAATGTCGCAGGAGTCTGAATAAATTTTGGATTGACTGTATATTTAATTTTTACAGTGAAGACTATGCAGTGCTATTTTACATTTGATTATTAGGTTCTGTACCTGGACACCTACAAACTTGAAAAAACGTACACATTGTGTAAATAGCACAAATAAATAAATAGAACGAACATACAAATTAAACAATTTCAAACAAGGGCACACTGGTACAACCTGCACTAGGGCCCCGCAAACCCCAGCTACGGCCCTGGGTGGCCCTATAAAGAGTATACCTGCAAGAACTCACTAAATGAATTCTCAATGCAATGTCTCCCCCTATTGGACAAATGCGTAGCGCGTAATGGTAAATAATATCATGCAGACTAATTAATCCTGTTTTTCATTTTTTAACCTTCTCTGAGTGGTCATGGTCTTCATTTACTGACCACAATCTATGAAACAAAATTAAGTCTGATTGTTCTTGTAACAATGCAATGCATTTGAAAGGAATTATGAAGCAGTAAATTGCTTAGAGATAACTGGACTCTTGCTTCCTGATCTTGAGTACTGCCAAAGGTAACCAATTAACCCCCTGTACAAAAACACATTCACCCCTCCCTCTTCTTGCTTTGCAGACAAAGATTATTAGCAGTGGTGTCCTAGATTACCCCGCCAATTAAGGTGATGGTAAAGCCTCTTCTGCCAGAACCCTGGGGCCTCTTTTGTGCACTTAATAAACACTTACATATACATCAAGTTATCCAATACTAATAATTATACTATAAAATTATTAAACCATTTGTTTAATAGTTGATACAAAAGTAATGTAATGCATTATATTTACCCAACTTAGCATACTTAGCTTTCTTAGTTTAATATATATTTTCCATTAATAATTTCCATTCCATCCCTAACATTAGGATGTGTTCACTCTAAAGAGGACTGAACTGAATAACAATATTGAAAGTGCCACCTAGTGGCATGTATTGTTATTTCTTCTTATTAAATATGATTTTAGTCAACAACCCTCATGCAAAGCACAGTGGACAATAAATAATAGTTGAAAGAAATTTGCATGTTGTAAAACCCACAAACAACAAAAGGTAGGTTTGTTGTCCTCAGTCTCCTTTTAACTCTGGCCTCCCTGAGGCTTCAGTGTCATTAAGCTGAATTGGCTCAAAGGCTTTCCAAGAATTCCAAAGCTAAAGGCAAAAGAAGGTACAATCAGACTATTAGAAACACTTGCAAAATAGATGCATACTATGCTTTTTCTTAATTGTAAATAATTCAACCATAGCATAATTAAATATTACCTAAGTGATTTTAGCTGCTCTATAAGACCCTCCATCACAGCTTCTAAATCAATGCGTGAAGTTGAGGACACTTTAAGATGCCTGAAGCCCTCAAACAGGTGAGAGGCCTTTTCTTGTGGAGTAAGCAGCAGAGAGGCCATCTGAGGGGAATGCTGGGTTATGATTTTGTTCAGGGCCAGGCGCCGATTTGACTTCCTGGGTTAAAATTCAGGAGACAGAGAGCGAGAGTATGAAAGAGAAGACGGGCCAGTAAAAGCATAAATCTTCACTTGAAGTTGCTTGCACACAGAAGTTTATCACGTTACTAGCAACATATCACAAAGAGGTAAGACATACCTTCTAAAACCTCTACATTAATACATGCATAAATAACAGGGCGTTTTTCAAGCAAATTTAGCATAAATGTGTCTCAAATCATTTCTATATTTTTGACACTTATGTAGAGACACTGAGGTAGAGGAAACACACTAATATCATCATGGGAACCATATATGAAACTCTTGGAACTGCAGGTGGTGGCTACTAATATTCAATTACATAATATTCAAAGGCCTCTAAAAGTTTTACATACTTCATGAATCACATATAGTCAAATGGCCTGCACATACCTCGTATAGTTGTATGTTACAGCGAGTGGATGACACCTTGATCCTGCAGACATAAATCAGACTTATTATTTCCTCAAACATGCTCTCATTCATCACACTGTTCATTAATGCAGTGAAACACACATGATTGATCTCGCAGGTATGGTATCAATAGCTGTTCTGACCTGTCAAAAGCCATATGGTGCTGTTGAGGCAGATCTATCCCCAGCAGCAGCCTGAAGTGACAGAGGGCAAGCTGCTTTTGTGCCAGCTCCACCTTAGCACACGTTTCTCCATGCATCTGCCTCTCAGTGTCCTCTCTGAAAGAGCAGGAAGGTTAAGGATGACATGCTGTTAATGCAATCATCACAGATTAATACGATTAAAAAGCTGTGTTAGGTTATTGAATAGGGTACATACACATCTTAATTGTGTCATTTTAGTAATTGGGCACTGCTCCTTTAATAATTTCATGCTTTTTTATGACTTAATTCATGCCCGGCTCCAAATTCAAACTCACCCCATGAGAGACGTCGGTCTTTCCTCCAGAGTTTTTTTTTTTTCGAAGTAGCAAGAAAAGTAGAGCAGGAGATTGGCAAGAAACCCATCCAGCTCTTTGCTCCTGCAAATATTTTGGCAAAATATATTTGGAATCATAGATTTGCACTAATATAACTGCAACTAAAATTTACTTTTAATTTAAGGATGACTAAGAAGTTAATATATTAGACAATAAATAGAAAGAAATCAGTAAAACAAGTGAAAATGAAGAGCAATGAGTATGAAGATATAAAAGTCATCCTCAAATAAAATACATAGTAAAATAAAATAGAATAAAAATGAAAATGAAACTTACTTTAGCAGAGATAGAAAACGAAGAGGAATGGAAAGCCTGTCGTTTTCCTGTAGCAAACAGACTGCTGCCACTGCAACACATTAAATGTATATTAAATCATCCTGGTCATTTTTCATGGCTCATATTGTTTTCATTATGTAGCAAAGTATACGGACCTACATTTAACATCCTGAATTGTGACACATTCCTTTTGTAAGCATTTTATTGAGGTCTTGAAGGCATCCAATTGAGCGGGTCTCTCAGTATTCCTTTGAAAAATGAAACTGAGTAAATCAATTGCTCAGAATAATACATCAAAGTCCTGCATAATGACCACCATGCCAGGAGAATGAAGTTATTAAGCCATAATTATTTCCTGATGTCTGACAACCATATGAGCTATAACGTTAGAAAACAGAATACTTTTGCCACTTCTACAGATGTTTTCTGAACTGCTCTTGCTATGCG